TTAGCAGGGAAGTGTCCCCCGTTTCCCTTCCTCCACTTCCCCCTGGAACAGAGCTCTGAAATTATGAAGTTGAATCAGTAGCAAAATGTAATTTGATTTCTCAACACTTAATTTAAATATTTATTATGAGGAATGCATCCATAATGTAAATTGAAGTAGAGCTATCCTGTTCTGTTCTTTAAACCTAGTGTTCTCAATTGTTGTGGAATATACTTTACTTAGTGACTCAAACATTATTGTTGAGCAGTGAGAGCCTGTGTGTGATGTGTTGGCTTTGTTTTGTAGTGGATACCAGGATCATCAGATCTTTTTTGTTTTTGTTTACCATTTTGGACTTGTTTCACTCATTTTCTTTTCACCTGCCAATGTACTTTAACCTTTTCTGAATGATTCAGGAGGTCCTGATAACTTTTCTTTTTTAAGATTTTATTTATTTATTTGTCAGAGAGCGAGCGAGAGAGCACAAGCACGGGGAGCGGCAGGCAGGGGGAGAAGCAGGCTCCCCGCTGAGCAGGGAGCCTGATACGGGACTCGATCCCAGGACTCTGGGATCATGACCTGAGCTGAAGGCGGACGCTCAACTGACTGAGCCACCCAGGTGTCCTGGTCCTGATAACTCTTTTTTTTTTTTTTTAAGATTTTATTTATTCATGAGAGACAGAGAGAGAGGCAGAGGGAGAAGCAGGCTCCCAAGGAGCAGGGAGCCCGATGCGGGACTCAATCCCAGGACCCTGGGATCATGACCTGAGCCGAAGGCAGACACTTAACCATCTGAGCCACTCAGGCGCCCGGTCCTGATAACTCTTAACTGTACTTTGCCAGGCTATATTTTTTGAGTTGTACTGGGTATGTTACCCTGCCTCTTGAACCTCAGTTGCTGTGCTATTTTTTGTGTGTTTTCAGTATATTTTTAGTTTCTTTCTTTCCTGTTAGGCTGCCAGCTGTTACTTTTGGTTGCTGTAGGTATGCTTGCCTCAGGTAAGCCTGTCTTTCCCCTCTGATATGCTATTTCTAATGTGATGCTAGTTTTGAAACTGTTACTACTCTTGTGAGGATTAGATGGAAACTAGAGTAAATGGATTCCGTAAGACTTGTACTAGTCATTAAAGGAGGCAGAGAAACAGTAGGGTTCAGATCTCACCTTTGACTAGGTTTGTAACTCAGGGCAAGTTACTTCTCTAAGACTCAGTTTCCTCAATTATAAAGTGTGGACAGTAGGAACCCCTGGACTACACCAGAAGAAAAAACTTTTGCATAGTGAAGGAAACCATCAACAAAATGAAAAGGCAACCTACTGAATGGGAGAGGATATTCACAAATGATATATTTGATAAGGGGTTAATGTCCAAAATACATAAAGAGCTTATATGATTCAACACTCCCAAAAAATAAATAATCTAATTAAAAAATGGGCAGAGGACATGAATAGACATTTTTCCAAAGAAGACACAGATGGACAACAGACACGTGGAGAGATGCTCAGCATCAGTAATTATTAGGGCAACGCAAATCAAAACTACAGTGAGATACCACTTTACATCTCTGAGAATGGTTAGAATCAAAAAGACAAGAAATAACAAGTATTGGTGAGGATGTGGAGAAAAAGGAACCCTCATGCATTGTTGGTAGGAATGCAAACTGGTGCAGCCACTGTGGAAAACAGTATGGAGGTTCCTCAAAAATTAAAAATAGAAATACCATTTGGTCCAGTAATCACACTATTGGGTATTTACCCCCAAAATGAAAACGTGAATTTGAAAAAATATATGCACCTCTGTGTTTATTGCAGTATTATCTACAGTAGCCAAGATTTAGAAGCAACTGAAGCCATCAATAGATGAATGGATAAAGAAGATCCACACACACACACACACGTGTGTGTGTGTGCGCACGCGCAATGGAATATTACTCAGCTGTAAAAAGGATGAGATCTTGCCATTTTTGACAAGGATGGACCTAAAGGGTATAATGCTAAATTAAATAAGTCAGAGAAAGACAAATACCATATGGTTTCACTTATATATGGAATCTAAAACAACAACAACAAATGAATAAACAAAAAGCAGAAACATACTTATAAATCCCCAGAACAAACTGAAGGTTGCCAGAGGGGAGGGAATGAGGGATGGGCAAATTGGGTGAAGCAGAGTGGGAGATACAGGCTCCTAGTTTATGGAATGAATAAGTCATGGAGATAAAAGGTACATCGTAGGGAATATAGTCAGTGGTATTGTAATAGGGTTGTATGGTGACAGATGGTAGCTACACTTGAGGTGAGCATAGTATAATGCATACTTTATGGTCTGAGAAAATCTGTGCCTTTTAAACCTCAGAGGGCAGGTGTATTAACAAACTACAGAATTTTCAAATAAATGAAGAATTCCATTACCTCACTGTTGCTGTTGATGAATTGGCCTCTGACGACACGTAAGCATCAAAACTCACAGTGTCTTTTCAGGTCAGCGGCTGACATGAGCGACTCGATTGAGAAAAATCTTATGAAAAAGGACCGTTGAACTTTCCCGAGTTTGTTTCTGCTTTGGAATATATCCTGTGTCATGTGAAGTAGTCAGATCTTTTTCCATGACCTGTTTTTATGGTTACAAAGTGTTATTTCTTAGGCACTAACTGGGTTCAGGGGTTACAAATTCAAATCACAGCATCAGCAAATCTCATGGTTGGAAGGGATGTTAAAGATCATGTAGTCAACCTGTCAGATAGCTGAGTTCTCACAAAGCGTTGATTCACCCTTCAGAAGTAGGCAGATTCTCTGTCTTGGGCTTATTCATTCCATTATTCGAATCTTCAGAAACCCTCCTGTTAGAAAGTTCTTTCTTTCAGTGTTCAGTGTTGAGGAATTCTTTCTCCCTCTGTGGCTCACCCATTGGTTCTGAATCTAACTCTTTGACAAATAGTCTAATCACTTGTCTACAATATTTAAGGAAACTCTCCTGTTTTTCTCCAGGCTATATATCTTCTGATCTTTCATCTTTTCCTCTTGTCTCTTAAAATATAATGTTCAAAACTATGGACACTATTCCAGGTAGAGTCTGACCTGTGCTGAATGGGACAAAAATTTCACTTTGCACATTTGATACTATATTTCCATTACTATATCTAAAATCACATTAATTTGGGGGACAACCTCATCATCACCTTGACTTCCTTTGAAGATAATTGTCAACTTAAGCCTATAAGGCTTTTTCATACATAAATGGGCATGACTCACCTATCCTGTACCACTACAGTTCTTTAAGACCCAAGTGCAGGACCTTAGGTTTACCCCTGTTCAAATTCATTCTTTTAGATTCAGCCCATTGAAACAGTCTGTTGAAGTATTTTTGGCTCATGGTTGGGTCATCCAGCATATTTGTCTTCTTGCCCAGCTTTTTGTCATCTGCAGATTGGATAAGTATGTTTTCTTTTCTCCATCTTAGTCGTTAACAGAGATGTTGAGGCAGGCCAGGCTGGAATCATTCTATTGTACCATACTATTGCTCGTAGAGTTTAATGGGCAGGATTAATTGTATATGGAGACAGAATTGTCAGTTTCGATCCAATATTCCATAATTATAGCAGGAAATGTCTTTTGGTGAGTAGTCCTATTGTAGTCGCTTAAAAACTATTAAGTGAGAGATAATAGAAATAAGGATGCTTATTAAGAGTGAGATAAGGAACTAGTTTGGAAAGTTGATGACCCTGCTTATATTCTTATATATAGTTAAGTATAATATATATTTACTAATTAATAAAATAGAATACAATTCTTTTTTTTTTTTTTTTTAAAGATTTTATTTATTTATTTGACAGAGAGAGACAGCGAGAGCAGGAACACAAGCAGGGGGAGTGGGAGAGGGAGAAGCAGGCTTCCCGCTGAGCAGAGAGCCCGATGTGGGACTCGATCCCAGGACTCTGGGATCATGACCTGAGCCGAAGGCAGACACTTAACGACTGAGCCACCCAGGCGCCCAATAGAATACAATTCTTATATTCTTATGGAAGGTCTTAAGCAGAGACGTTTATGGACTGATTAGAGGCAATGTGGTATAGGAGAAGAATCCCTTAACTAACCCTGAGATGTTTTACTCACTTATTTATTTAGGAAATAAATATTAAGTGCCTACTATACTTACTTAAGCCCTGGATATACAGTGGTTAAAAAAAACCAGCCCAGACTCGATCTTTGCCTTCAATGGACCTTACATTCTAATGGGGGAAACGATTCAATAATTACATAGGTGAAATCATAATACTTTCTGTGATCTGTATTCTAGATAGGTACTGTCCAACAAACAATGCGAGTCATATATTGAATTTAAAAGTTTCTAGTAGCTCCATTTAAAAAAGTAAAAAGAAAATAATGAAATTTATTTTAATAATTAATTTTAACTCAGTATATCTGAAATAATATTTCAGCATGTAAGCAGTATAAAAAATTTGAGGTATTTGTATTCTTTTTGTTGAACTAAATCTTTGAAATCTTAAACTTATGCCACATGGCAGTTGGAACTAGTCACATTTTAAGTGTTCAGTAGCCACATATAGCTAGTAGCTTCTCTGTTGGACAGCACAACATTGTGCCCGTCTTTACAGACTACTTGGTGGTGTTGGGCAAATTACTTTCCTTGTGTAGGACTCCTGTTTTCATTCAGTAAAATGAAAGATTTTGACTTGCTTAGCTTCTAACAACTAAGTGTGGGTCCCTTGCATGTATGAGAGCATCTTTTGAGGTGCTCTAAATCTCCATCTTGATCTGGGTGCTGCTTACATAGGTATATATAATATGTAATTTATCAAGCTATACACTTAAGATTTGTATACTTTATAGTATTTGTGTTATACCTCAATGAAAGTTGGTTTTTTTTTTAAATAAGATCACTTCCAGTTTTTTTATTCTGTGTTCTTTGCTGAAATTACTCAGATGAGCTGACCTTCAGTATAAATATGTGATATAAAAAGTGCAAACAGCCAGTTACTCTTTATATCTTCTTCCCACTCAGGATGTGTCTAGTCCGAATGAAGCAGGAAGGCCGGAGTGGGAAATATATGTGTCGGATCATAGTTCATTTTATGTGGGAGGATGTTGAGCAGCGTGGCAGAGTCATGGGGGTAAGTGAAATGCTGTCCCATTCTGGTCCTGGAAAACTCCAATGAGGGATTGCCTGACTTGAGTTGATGTTTGTTTTTTTTTTTTAATAAGGGTTTTATTTATTTATTTATTTGAGAAAGAGAGAGATACACATCAACTCTAACAATGGTTACTTTTGGGGGGTTGGAATAGGGAAAAGACACTTGTTTTTACATTAAATGCTTTTTACTTTTTGATTTTTATTCTATGAACATGTATGACTTTTATAATACATACATAAATTGTTTACTCCTCAGTCCGTAGGGAGAACACTGTAATGAAAAAAAACCAAAATAACCCATTTTGTGACCCCATCTGATGGTTCTGCTTTAGATGATCCTAAGCTGGGAGGCAATGAAATGGGAGAAAACAAGGTTTACAATCTACTAAAATATGGTCTGGAGGGGCGCCTGGGTGGCTCAGTTGGTTAAGCGACTGCCTTCGGCTCGGTCATGATCCTGGAGTCCCGGGATCGAGTGCCGCATCGGGCTCCCTGCTCAGCGAGGAGCCTGCTTCTGCCTCTCTCTCTGCCTGCCTCTCTGCCCACTTGTGCTTTCTCTCTGTGTGTCAAATAAATAAATAAAATCTTTAAAAAAAAATATATATGGTCTGGACACAAAAATACGCAATATACCCAAAGGAAGATTTATATAAACAACTGTATTCTAATGTTTTAGTTTCGTTTTTCTATTACCATTACATTCTATGTTTATATATATATATATATAAACTATATATCCCCCTTTCTCAGGTTAATTATTAAATGTACTAATGTACATTTTCATTAGATACCTTGTCAAGTTATTCTAGGTTGTTAGTGATCAAGGAGCTTGTTTTTCAGTTTCTGAGGACAGTGCAGGCCTGATGCCAGGGTATTTCCATCAGAACAAATTTAGAGGAGGACTGGTTCAAACACTGAATTGGTGTCAAAGGCATAGCATCCTAAAGCTCAATTATTATTTGATTTCCTCCATTCAACAAATCCAACCCTCTTACCACCATTACTTGGGCTTAATAATTCCATTTCCACACACAGGATGTCCTTGCATTGACAAACCATAATATTGTGTGCAAACACATAAAGTCTCCATGGCATGTCAGTCTCCATAGAGGCAGAAACAACTCTAGCTGAATTACCACCTGACATTAGGCAGCATCACACAGAAATCTAAAAGAAAAGCCATTCTAGAACACATAAAACATCAACTCAAGGGCGCCTGGGTGGCTCAGTTGGTTAAGCGACTGCCTTCAGCTCAGATCATGATCCCAGGGTCCTGGGATCGAGCCCCACATCGGGCTCCCTGCTTGGTGGGAAGCCTGCTTCTCCCTCTCCCACTCCCCCTGCTTGTGTTCCCTCTCTCGCTGTCTCTCTCTGTCAAATAAATAAATAAAATCTTAAAAAAAAAAAAAAAAGAGTTGATGTGTATCCTTCTAGCTGGTTCCTATATAAATGCAAATTATAAATACGTATTCTTTAACATAACACAAATGGGCTTAACCATACACAGTTTTGCATCCTGGCTTTTTAACTTAATATATATTAGATATGGGTTTTTTTTAAAGATTTGTTTTTATTTATTTTTATTTTTTATTTTTTTAAGATTTATTTATTTTATTAATATGAAAGAGAGAGACAGATAGCGAGAGAGAGCACAGGCAGGGAGAAGAGGGAGAAGCAGGTTCCCTGCTGAGCTATGTTATCTATAGAAAATATATACTTTTGGTTTTGTGTGTGTATATTTGATTATACATGATATTGTTCTCTGTGTACTAATAAGCAATTAATATGTACTTAATTTTTTTTACTCAGCAGTATGTCTGGAGATTTTTCTGTGCTGCATGGGAGTTAAGTGGGAGGTCGTCACCCATGTTGTATTTATTGTAATTATTTTCACACACTCCTGTGTCATTGACTAATGGTATCACGTGCTTACTCTATGTGTAAAAGTGTGGTCTTTGAGGCTAAATCATGGAGATGATGGTTTCCTACTGAGAGGGTATTTCCAAATTCTCATGTCTTTGGAGGAACTGCAAATATAGGAAGCACAGTGGACATGGATTCATCTTAAGATGTCTTCAGTGACATTTACATGCCTTTCTTTGGGACAGTAGACCATTGGCGTTTCTGTTCATTCTAAAAAGAGGATAGCATATGTCAGAGTTTTAGCTGCTGTCAGCGTCATCATCATTTGTTTGGAGTCAGTGAGTACTGACTGTAAGTGTGTTCTTTGGTTCCTTGTTCATTTTTTTCACTGTCAGGCCTTTCTGCTGTCTTTGTTACCCAGAGTGGATCAGCAGCCTTGAAGCTATTCTTGTAGCTGAGTGTCCCACATGCCCTCAGGTACTTATATCCAACTCTGTGGCAGCACCCAGTGGACATAGAGTGGTGCTGCTAGTACCAAAGGACTTAATGATAGCCAGTGACACCCCCTGGCCAGCCACAGCCTTGGCTGACTGCCGTTCCGTGACACAGTAGCTCTTCTAATTAGTTAGCCTGTTTTCTCTATCACTGTTGACTGAACTTGCCTGGGCGTTGGACGGCTAGACCCATGTGGGCCACGTGGCTTAATGAGCCATATGTTACTGACTCTTGAACTACAGGAACCTTTTATTTATTTATTTATTTATTTTTTAAAGATTTTATTTATTTATTTGAGAGAGAGAATGAGAGAGAGAGAGCATGAGAGGGGGGAGGGTCAGAGGGAGAAGCAGGCTCCCTGCCGAGCAGGGAGCCCGATGCGGGACTCGATCCTGGGACTCCAGGATCATGACCTGAGCCGAAGGCAGTCGCTTAACCAACTGAGCCACCCAGGCGCCCTTGAACTAAAGGAACCTTTTAGTTATTAACCCCCCCCCCCCCCCATGAATTTCCTCTGGACCTCCATAAATATCTCCATCACAATCTCCAGCACTTTGAACCTTCTGTGTTACTTTATAATGTTACTTCCACTTGACTGCATGCTTTATAAAGGCAGGAGACCTGTTTTAATCACACATTTTTGCTTACATAGTAAACGTTGGATGAATAAATATCGTTGAATGAATGAATACATTGAATCTCAGCCTCTGAAATTCTGTTTTAAAGCCAACTTATCAGATAGATGATGCTTGATTTATTTGTTTCTAGACCATGTGTACATCAGTGCAGTCCTGTGGGAGTTAGTTTTTCCTTTTCTTCTTTTTCCCTCCATTTTATCCAACCATTTTTCTTTCTGAATTTTTCTAGATACGATGTCTTACAGAGAAGTGTGTTAGATCGGTGTTTCTCACACTTTAATGTGCCTGTAGTCCGCCTGGGGAATCTTGTTAAAATACAAATTTGATTCAGTAGGTTGGGGTGGAGCCAGAGAGTCTACATTTCTTTCTTTCTTATTTATTTATTTATTTATTTATTTATTTAAGAGAGAGAGAGAGCATGAGAGGGGATAGGGTCAGAGGACGAAGCAGACCCCCCGCCGAGCAGGGAGCCTGATGTGGGACTCGATCCCGGCACTCCAGGATCATGACCTGAGCCGAAGGCAGTCGCTCAACCAACTGAGCCACCCAGGCGCCCGAGAGTCTACATTTCTAGAAAGCTTCAGGTGGTGCCAGTGCCACAGGTGGAGCAGGGTGAGCATGTGGCAGCCATGCTTTGAACAGCAAGGTTTTAGACGATCCATAATGCTCCCCAAGTACAGACTTGTAAACTCACCTGCATGAAGAGAAATGTCAAGCCCCAGTTTAGTTACAAAGACTATAAAAGATGGTGATTTAAAAATAACAGATGTTTGGACAAGTTGGGGAATTACTGTTACTGTTTTTCTATTGTAATTGACTTGGTCCCCCCGCACCCCTATTCCAAACTCATGATATAAACAGGCACCCTTTATACAGGCAAGAAAATTGTATTTTAACCACTTCTGTTATGAGTGTGGTTGTGTGTGTAGAGGGGTTCTCAGTCTTGTGTGTGTGTACAACCTAAAGAAATGGGAAAGTTAGGGACATGTGGCTGGAGAAAGTAGTAGGGAGCCAGTCTGGCCTGGTTCTGACCCTGGCTGCCAAGTCTCTCCTCCTGTGTGCTTCAGTTTCTTTTAAAAATTTGAGTTGGGGGCGCCTGGGTGGCTCAGTTGGTTGAGCGACTGCCTTCCGCTCAGGTCATGATCCTGGAGTCCCTGGATCGAGTCCCGCATCGGGTTCCCTGCTCGGCAGGGAGCCCGCTTCTCCCTCTGACCCTCCCCCCTCTCATGTGCTCTCTCTCTCTCATTCTCTCTGTCTCAAATAAATAAAATCTTTTAAAAAAGAATAAAAAATAAAAATTTGAGTTGTTGGGGTGCCTCAAAAAATCTGATTTGAAGGTGGTAATTTGTAAATCTGTCTCTGTGTAATTTGGCATCCCAAGTGTACATCTTTAAGAAAACTTATATAAAAAGTAGAATTTATAAGACTGATCAGTGTAGTGGTGATCTTTTTCATGCCAAAGAATTCTTAGAGGCTATTACTTTGAGTGGAACCACTTGTGAATTAATGGCGAATCAGAAATTTGAATCAAGAACTCCTTTGAAATTAGAATTGCAGTCTCATTTGGTGGGGAAATTTTTATTAAAAAATTTATGCTTTTTATCAGCTTTTTAGGAGCCCGACTATTGTGAAAAACAAGGCAGACTCATATATCATTAGTGAAGCCGGTATAAAATGCAAGTGTTAAATTTGAGGTTACAGAAATCACATCAATAATTTAGAGCGTTCTAACTTAAAAAAAAAAAACATTATTTGGGATTTAAACATATAAATTAGCTGTGGAAATAAAGTTCATTATATCACCTCATCTGGTCTTGTTTTATTTCATTAACTGGTTCTTAAAAACCTTTGTGAGCTGAGTTGCAGCTGAAGAGGTTGGAGACCATTTTTCCTTGGGCCCTTGCCTCACTCCTGAGTGTTGGTAAGAGTAGAGAACTAAGACTTGACACAGCTGTAAAAACAGACAGGCCTTTGGCCTCAGCACTTTCTCCTGGTGCAGGCACATTTCAGATGTAAATTTCACTTTCTGCCTCTCCTACTAATGAAGTAAGTTTCTTTTGCTGGGTTTGCAGCCAGGTGTGTCCAGTCTTGTGGCTAACCCTGGCGCTTTAGTTAATTTTTCCATTTGTGACATTTCAACCAAACTTAAAAAACAAACATAAAAATTAGCTCAAGGCAGTGGCTCAAAGTGTTAATGGTAACCTTAGGCTGGCTAAACGACTTCCTCTCAGTTCTGCCCTGCCAGACATCTCCACCTTGTGGCTCACAATGAGCAGGTTTAAGCTTTCCAAGCCTTGGAGACTAGGTGGGAAAGAGTATTAAGAAATTCCAAGTTTATCCTTATCAATGGTCCCTGGAATGCCAGTTGTCTGTCTCATCAGGACTTCAGATGATTTCTTGCTAGCACCATTCCAGAATAAGGATGAGCCTCCTGTCACCTCAAGGTCTCCTGTCCTCTCTAGCAGAGCTGCCTCCTGGGGTGGTGCAGAGGGCCTAGAAAGAGGTGGAGGAGCTGTGGGCTGAACTGGACTCCTTTGTAAAATTCTACTTTTCTTCTTAGAATCAGCATTTTGCTTTGCAAGGTCCTCTCTGATCACACTCCAGACTACCTTTCCAAACTCATTTCCTCTAGCTCTTCTTGAACTGTAAATATGTGAAACCTTCTAGCCCATGTGCCTGGCACATAGTAAGCACTCAGTGAACATCTCATTCCAGCCTTGCTTCACATACTCTTCACTCCAGCCAAGCTGAATGCCTTGCTCTTCCTGTCTTGTGTCATTCCCCGTGCGGTACATACAATACACCACAGCCCCAATTCCTTTACATCCCTCCACCCCATACTGGAAGCCAGTCTCAGTTGTCCCTAGCTGGAAGTACCTTAGTAATTTATATGTACCCATTTTCTGGGTCTTACTGTTTCTCTTTTGTATCATTGTTATTCGTGAGTATTGATTACCTTCCAGGTGAATTGCCTGGGGGCCGGATCCCCTGTATTCCTCTTTGTAGTCTCCAAAGTGCTTATCATGGCCCCTTGGCTGAATGCATGTCCAGTAAATAGCTGACAACAGAAGACAGTTCTGGAAGCCCACTATATGTATTAGAAAAAGTGGGGTGGAGAGGTAGCCCTTTTCATTCTGAGCATATTTGTTTGCTCTGTCTTAAATACTGTAAGAAAAAGAAATGAGAAATTGTTTCCTTTACCCTCAAGTTTTTCTTTTTCTTTTTCCATGCTTTCCTGTCTTCTGATTTGACTAAAAAAACCCCAACAACTTATACATGAGGCCTTTTATGTTTCTGAACTAACAAAGACTTTAAATCTGTAAAGGGTGGTAAAAATAAGAATTATACATACTTTAGTTTTTCTGGAAATTCTCTTCCAGGCCTCTGTAATTCCATTCCCTTCTCCTCCCTACCTCCCCACAGAAATCTTCAAACTCCTCTGTTTTACCATGAGGTAAAAATTTTGCTATACTTTCCATCTCTAGGTCAGAATTAACACTCACTGCTATCCATAGGTACTGTTTTAAAGGCAAGGACCACTTTAAGTTCATAGTTTTGTGGCCAATGATACGAATGGTGGAGTGTAAATACAGAGCAATTCCTTGGGCTTGAGGCCTTTAAAATAAGACATGTTTGTTCCCAGATATCAGTTGTTCTTTTGAAAGTTTTTGAATGTCCTAAGCTGTTGGAGTGGATATTTGTTTATTAGGTGAGAGAAGGCTAAATTCTTAGAAGGCAGAGCAATTTCATTTTGGGATTGGCTCATGAACTTGAGCAGGGTCCAACTGAGATGTATCTTTAGTAGATACATTCCTTTCTCTGTACAAGTTTCATGACCCCAGGTCTCAGGAGGCAGCAAGGGTGCATGGAGTGTGTGCTTTAGGCAGTTTTGTGACTTATCAGCTGCCTGGGAGCATACAGCCAGAATGCTGGTCTGATGGCTCAGTTTGCCTGTCCTTCTGGGCAGCATGCTGGACTCACTTCATTTCAGGGATTGTCCCTGAAAGAGAAGTTATAAACCTATCTGAAATTGAAATTAAATAGAGCATGAAACTCCTATCTATGCACATGATGGTTTATCTCTCTCCTGGCCGTTTTTACCTTGAGTTATAGGTTGTGAGTTTCCTGAGGTCTAGTTCGTATTTGTTTGTCTGTTCCTCCGGTACCTGAAATGGAGCTTTATCCTTAGTAGGCATTCAGTAAATGTTTCTTGACTGAGTAAATCAGTAAGTGAATTTGATCCTCTTTGTTATCTTCAGTTTACCGTATGGAATTTCTGTAGAAGAAAGACAGTGACCTAATTCTGTTTTCAAAGCCCTGACTGCCTTGGGGCATTGACACTGTCCTGTCTTTCTAGGGTACCCTTCTTAAGTACTCTTCATATTAAGTACTCCCAGTTCAGCTCATTGTCTCAGAACTGTTTACCTCTCTAACCTATCACTTTTTTTTTTTTTTTTGCTTCTCCAGTCCCTCTGGGTGTCCTATTCCCTTTGATGTCTTTTGTACCATAGTTCTGGTACTGCTTAGAGCTGTGTGCATTGGGCACAGCTAGAGCCATTTCCAGGTGTTGCTAATGGTTCTCCTAAATAAATCTCACTCAGGAGATGGGATAAATAGCTCCATGAAACTCTTCTTCCTGTGTTTCCTGTCTCACTTCTGATGTCGTCACCATCAATCTAGCCCCTCCAAGCTGGAATTCTTAGAGTCCTCCTCACCTCTTGCCTCATCTTCTGCACCCAAATTGTCCTGTCACTTCTCTGCCCAAAATATCTTTGGATTTTTTTTTTTTTTCCCTCTCTTCTGTTCCATTGCTTCATATCAACCCTCATCATCTCTCCTTCATTGCACGTGGCTTCATAACTAGTTCTGGACTTTACCCACTCTGGTGAACCTGTCACCATATAAATCACCAGAGGTTTTTCCAAATTCCACATCTGATCATATCCCTCTGTCTAGAAATCTGAGGGACAAAATTCAAATATTCTTAGCAATGGTATATAGAACGCTTCGTTGTTACATAGGAGAATATTCTTAGAAGATATAGTGTTTAGTATTTAGGAATGAAATGATTTGATATTTTCACATGGTTTAGCAAAAGAAAAAAGGGCATGTGTATGTATATATATAGAGAGATGAAGCAAATGTTAAAAATATTAACAGTTGTGAATCTAAAAATTATACAAGTTTTTCTTGTAGTACTCTTAGAATTTTAAGTAAGTTTGAAACTTTTCAAAGTGAAAAATGGGGCGGGGGCGGGGGGTGGGGAGAGAAGAAATCTTCACATTCTAGTCCCAACCCATCTTTCTAGTCTGATTGCCAAGAGACCTCTCTGATACACAGATATCCATGCATGTGCACACATACACACAAACACAGGTTTCACTCATGCCACATTTTCACTGATGCCATGTTCCTTTATGCTTCTGGGCTTTTGTTTATACAGGTCCCTTTGTCTGAAGTGGTCTTAACACCTGTCTTCCCTGCTCGTGGCACTGTGAGGCACAGCTGGATAGTGCCTCTTCCACGAAGCTTTTCCCAGCACCCCCCAATAATATTGGTATGTTTGGCCACTCCCTTCTCTGTATTGCTGCAGCACTTTGCACAAACTTCTGTGATAGGACTTACCATGCTGTCCTGTAATTGTGGGTTTGTGTAGGTCACGCCCATTAGATGGGATGAAGAATCCTAGGATTCCTGGTGTCTTAACACAGAGTGCCTAACATGGTGACCCCTCAGATACTTGGGTGGACACAGGTACCTGCTTCTATTATTAGTGACTGGGCAGCATTGTCTCCCAAATTCTGACTTAATGAATGATCTCTTTTCACACCTGGATTCAATTTCTCTGACCACCCTCTCCCCTGAGAAAGTTTCATTTTTCTCTCCCTGCCCTGCCTCTGGGGTTCCTTGACTCTCTCATCATTTATATTTCTTTTTTTTTTTTTTTAAAGATTTTATTTATTTATTTGACAGAGAGAGACACAGCGAGAGAGGGAACACAAGCAGGGGGAGCGGGAGAAGGAGAAGCAGGCTTCCCGCTGAGCAGGGAGCCTGATGCGGGGCTCCATCCCAGGACCCTGGGATCATGACCTGAGCCAAAGGCAGACGCTTAACGACTGAGCCACCCAGGCGCCCCTCATCATTTATATTTCTAATTCACTTTATAGAATAGATGAACCTTAGAATGTTAGATTGAGTGCCTCAGATATTCTCTGGTTCTGTGGTTCTCAATCTGAAGGGGCTCAGATGTGTATGTATTTTAAAAAGTCTCCCCAGAGGATTTCTGATGTGCGTCTCAGAGTAAGGACTATAGATCAGGTCCCACTGGCTCGTTTCTGTGGTGAGAAAATGGGGTCCCAGAAAAGTTCACTGATTTGCCCAAGGTTGTGCAGCTACAAACAGCAGAATGAGGACCCAAACTAGGGTATGCTGATTCCCAGCCCAGTGTCCATTTTACTATACCATGATCCCTTCCCGGGGTGCAGGAGGGGGATCAACTTCGTGGCAGGTTCCTTCTCTCTGGTCTTCTTACCAAGGACTTCCAAAGGCCAAGAGGACAGCTTTTCTGGAGTCTCAAGGCATTCCATTTCTTCAGTGCAGTCCCAGGCCTGAGGCCCCTTTTATTCAGAGTTTCTAATCCGAAAGGGCAGAGGTTTCCTACTCAGCAGGACTAATAGAGATTAAGGGGGAAAAAAAGGTGAGAATGCTAACAATGTTCTGAATTTGTTTCTTTTTCCATCATTTAGAGTCTGAATGTCTCCACATCGGCTGAATTTGCCTTAAGTTGATTTTACAATTATTTTTCAGAGACTCCGTGGTTGTGTTTTTTTAAGAGTAGAGGAACACCGAGACTGAACACCGTGCTCAGAGAGGCTGGGCCGGGAGACTAACAAAGGCGGTATTATACTGTGCACGGCAAAGCCAGTAAATGAATTCAGGAGACACCTAGATGTGTTTCTCGAGGAGGGCGTGAGGGGGAGGGGTCTGGTGAAAAGGCAGAAAGGTGGGATTAAGATAAATTAAAATGGGGCCAGCATGTTGGATAAGGGGACAGCCCCTTCCTGTTCCCACTATTGCTTAAGATTTTTCATTCTGCTTAGTTCAAAAGTTAAAACTAGTCCTTAACCATGGACTTCATACTCCTCCATCCCCCACTTTCTTACATAGGAAAAGAACTTCGTTGTAAAGCTATTCTGGCCTGATACAGCAGTGTTTATTATTTGAATGCTGCATCTGTGGGGTGGCTTAGACCATTAAAACTGGAAAGGAGCCTTGAAATAATCTAGACCAGAGATTTTCAAAAGTGAGGTCTCCAGACCAGCAGCCTCAACATCGCTTAGGAACTTGTTAAAAATGCAAGTTTAGGGCCCCACCCTCAATCTGCCGAATCAGAAACTCTGGCTGTCGGGTCCAGCAACCTGTGTCTTAACAGACCCTCTGATCAGAGGGCCACTGCTCACCTCTGATCCTGTCATTTAACTAACGGAGAAACTTGCTTGAGGAGAGGAGTAAATTTGTTAGAAACCAACTAAAGAGCAGAACTCGGGTCCCCTGATTGCCAGCTCCTCTTGCTCTCTCTGCTGAGGGGAGCAGGGTGTGGGCATGGGCAGGTGCCCTGTAAAAGTTGAGGATTTCAGCATAATACAGAAACAGTTCACCCATAGTAGTAGCTCGACTTACTGAGAACTTTCTCTTTGCTGTGCACTTTATAAGCACCATACGAATTTGACATTTTACAACAATCTTAACCTATGAGATAGTATTTCTATCCTCATTTTATAGATGAAGACACTAGGATCAGAGAGGTTAGTGGATTCATTTCCTATAGCTGCTGTAACAACTTAACACAAACTTGGTGGCTTGAAACAACAGAAATTTATTCTCTCATAGTTCTGACGGCCAGAAATCAGCCTCATGGGGCCACAATTGAGGCATTAGCAGGGCCGTGCTCTTTCTGGAGGCTTTAGGGGAAAATCTGTTCTTTGCCCTTTCCAGCTTCTGGAGGCCACTGACATTCTTTGGCTTGTGGCCACATCACTCCAATTTCAGCCTCCCTCTTTAAGGGTACATGTGATTACATTTAGGGCCCACCTGGATAATCCAGGATAACCTCCCCATCTGAAGACTCCTGATCTAATCATAGCTGCAAAGTCCTTTTTTCCCCATATAAGATACATTCCCAGGTTCCAGGAATTAGGCTATAGATATCTTTTGGGAGACCATTATTCTAACCTACCAGGAAGATAACTTAATCAGTCTTACACAGTAAATATGAGAGCCTGGATTGGAACCCAAACCTGCCAGACTTTTGAGCCCATGCTCTTAATTACTAGTCTGTACTACCTGAAAAGGTCATCACTCAGAACTATGGCTCTAACGTAAGCATTAAGATTTTTCACTTAAGTGCTGTTTCCTTCTTCCTCTAACTTACACATTACTTGTCACATAACACTGAACCTCTGAGTCCCTAAGCATGTCTGTATGTTGGTCCCGACTCCTTCAGTTAAATTGTTAGCTCCTAGAGGGCAGAGATTGTATCTTTTTCCTTTTTTTTAAAAAAAAAAATGGAGTTATAATTCATCTACCATAAAAGTCACCATTTTAAGTGTTTTTTTTTTTTTAAGTAAATTCACAGTGTTATGCAACCATCACCACTATCTAATTCCAGAACATTTTCATCACCTCAAAAAGAAACCCTGTGCCCATTAGCAGTCACTCCCCATTCCTCTTTTCCCCCAGCCCCTGGCAACCACTACTCTACTTTCTGTCTCCATAGATTTTCCTATTCTGGGCATTTCATATAAATGGAATCATAATATGTGGCCTTTTCTCTCTGGCTCCTTTCACTTAGCATCATGTTTTCATGGTTCATCCATGTTGTAGTGTGTATCAGTACTTACTCCTTTTTATGGATGGTCTGTTGTATGGATATGCCACATTTTATTATCCATTTATCAATTGATGGGCATTTGGGTTGTTTCCATTTTTTTTTTGGCTTTTATGAATAATGCTGCTGTGAACATTCATGTACAGGTTTTTGTCTGAACATAGGTTTTCAGTTCTCTTGGGCATATTATCTAGGAGTGGAATTGCTGGGTCATACAGTGATGTTATGTTTAACTTTTTTGAGCAATTCAGATAGTGCATTTTGTATCAAATTGTTTGAATTTTAGTGTGCCATCCATTGTTATTTGTTTATAATGAAATAACATTTTCATAATATGTAGTCTTAATCATATTTCTCATCTTAACTGCCAAATAAATATTTATACCTACAGTTTTCGATAGTAAAGAGAAGGGATGGGTGGTATGGTATAATGGAGGGAGTTCTGGCCAGCCTGGCCACTCTCTGAGTGAGCTCGAGTAAGTCAAATCACCTCACCTCTCTGGGGAGGAGAGCTAGATGATTTCTAAATTCTCTTCCAGACTTAACATTCCGCAATTCTGTGAGAGTCTGAAAAGCTAGCCTTGTGTTAAATCCCAGAGCTTGTGTTCTGTTTTTTTAGCAGTTCATCATTCTCTGTCTGATTTCTGTTCCCAGACACAAACAAGGTTTTGCCCATCTATCCGTCTATTTTATTGTGGTCTGCTAACTTCAGGTACTCTGCTAGGCACTGGAGATACACAGATGATGAAGATACTGTCCCCGCCTCCCCAGTCTTGTAGGAGAAGACAAACGGATAAGCAGGTGATTATAATATTGAGAGATTATGATATTTAAAAATTGCTGAGAAGGCCCAGAGGAGAAAAGCTTGGGGTAGATGACATTTGGGTTGTATCTTTCAGATAAATGTTTAATAGACAAGAGAAACCTTCAGGGCAGAGGAGCAGTGTAGGTAGAGGCAGAATGGTGTGAGAGGACAGAGCATGTTTGCCTTTTTATGGTGACTTTTTTCCTTTTCTTACAGTGCTGAAAGCAGACTCTCTCTGTCCAGACTAGCTCCCATTTTGAGATCCTTTTGGGTGTCCAATATTCACAGACTCATTGACTAAGAGGTCTGCAAAAGAATCTATTTTGTGTAAGTCCTGGACACCTATAGATCTTCTTCCCAGTTTTTTAAGGACACTTCAGACTCAATTTCAGAGTAATGAGGTTCCCCGAATGGCTAAGGAGCCTTGATCAAGATTTGGGTTTTCTCTTAGCATCAGCTTAGTTTGGGCTCCTTGCAAATGCCCTCTGGTCCCCCTGAGGGTTTTAGTTACATAAAATATTAGGAACGTAAAATTTTACAGTATGATCAGCACAGCACAAACTAAATTTCTAACCTTTGACTAGAATCATATACGGAAGGCTTTGTGTTTTAAACTGCCCCCTTCCCAGCCTCCTAGCCTTCATGAGAGGTCATTGTACAGCTCTTTCCATGGTCACTGTTCTCTTCCCTTTTACTGGAGGGCAAAACTAGGGCAGAGAAATAATTTTTATTCACTTCTGAAAGGTTACAGTAATAAAGAAACTCTTGTTAACATCAGAGAACGTTGCAGCCAAGAGTTTTCACAGTCTGGCATTGTTTATTTTACATGTAATTTGGAACCTTCTGCACTCTTAAAAATATTGGCACAAAAATGTTTTAACTGTTGAAGTACTTCACTGCATGCGGCAGTATGCGGTGTCAGAGGGGCAGCAGGGCTCTGGAGAGCCATTTGCCCTGTTCCTGTTGGAGAGAAAAACAGTTTTAAGCGTGCATGTGTAGGTATGTGCACATCCACATCCACTCAACTGTAGATGAGTCTCTCTGCAGTTAGAATTTAAGAACTTTCTCTGTCCTGATGAACTTACGTTTCCCTTTATTTAACGATGAGAATGGTATAACAATCCTGCTTCCCCGTTGCCATGGCTTCCAGAAAGTACAGAGCTTCCCTTATTTAGGTATTTGATATAATTTTTCATTATCCTCTTTCTCTCACACATACACTTTATTAACGCTTTTCTTTACCTTTTCTTTTTTCTTTTTTTTTTTTTTTTCCTTTTTGGTGGAGATGTCTACTGTGGGCCCAATTCTGGCAGGCATTTTATAGATCTCATCTCCATCACAAATTGCCTGGCTAGAGGTGAGTGTGCCCATTTTGCAGCTGAGGAGAACTGGGGCAGAAAAGTTAAAGAACTTGGCTATGGCCACCACAGCGAGTCTCAAGTCCAGATCTGACTGATATTCAGACTTTTGCTCTTTTGGCCATAGCACGTGCCTTTTTTTATAAGCCAACTTGAACCTTTTTTTGGAAGTAAGTAGAATACAAGAACAAGTAAATGAACTAATGGCTAACCTATCCATTGACAGGAACAAAGTCATTTGTGTTGATCAAGATAGTAATACACAGAAGTATCTGGCTCCATCAAAGTGGTTTTTTTTTTTTTTAAGATTTTATTTATTTATTTGAGAAAGAGAAAGAGAGCACACAAGCCGGGGGAGGAGCAGAGGGAGAGGGAGGAAACAGACTTCCTGCTGAGCGTGGAGCCCAGTGAGGCCCATCCCAAGACCCTGAGATTACGACCGGAGCGGAAGTCAGACGCTCAACCAACTGAACCACCCAGGCGCCCCCATCAAAGGATTTTTGTTGTTGTTTTGTTAGGTTGAAATTAAGATTTGAAAACAATTACAGAAGGATCCCATGCTGGAGTGGTGATTGGGCTTCCATAGTTCCAGGCTCAACTTTGCTCCTAAAGTTTGGAGGATCTTCTCTTTCCCCCATCTGCTTCTTGTCCTGTGGGCTCAAAATAGAGCTATTTATATTAACCTTGCGAAGACCCAGGGATTCCCCAAGGCTGATCATGCTCTCCCTGTGGACAGTGGCCTGTTGCTGCATAAGCTCTTCTTCCTTCAGATCTTTCTTCCTTGGCCTCCAGAGTGGAGCCTTGGCAAAAGAGGCAGAGGTTACCCCACCAGCTGGGCTGTGTAGAGCTGTCACCAAGCCAGAACCTTCTCCAGGGATCTTCAGCAGGGCCTCCTTCCTCTGCAGGAGTTCTCCTCTGGCTCTGAGAAAAGGACGCTGTGCTGTCATGTATGTATGTGTTTAACTTCCCAAGCACTTACCTCCCATTAAATGGGCTTTGGAGCCAGACAGACCTGGGTTTTGATCATGCCGTGCCATAATGTGGCCTTGAGACCCTGGGCAAGTCTCTTTACCTTTCATTGTCTCCATTTCTTTCTCTGTAAGGTAAGTCATACATAGTGTGTGACTTTAGCAGTATGGTGCTAGTAAAGACTTAGTACAATGCTTGGCACATCAATGGGCACTGTTTGGACCCTTTCTGTATAGCACCTAGCATCGGCTGCTTTATTTCAAAACGATTTATGTCCACATCTGTCATGCTTCACTGGCTTCTGACTTTCTGGAGGACAGAGATCATATCTTTCATCCTTGTATCGCCGGTTCTGCCTGGCACAGGTCATGTTCATTGCAGGCCCTCAGTCGATGTTGGCTGAATCTGTTAGGATGGTTTGGACGGGGCAGGGCGGCCATGAATGTTTTAGTTTCTCCATCTGAACCTGGGGAAATAGTAACTCCTTATTTTGGAGCCTTTGAGGACAATTTAAAATGATATGTGTGAAGTGTTTGGAGCCCTTTGAAAGGAGGGTACTGGGGAAATTAATGGTGTTTTTGCTGTTCTTGGGAAAGCCCTTTGTGGTTCCCAGCGAATAAATTACTTGGAGTGAGTTTTCTAACACCTCCTACTCTGCTCTGTTCACTAAGGCTTTTTTTTTTTTTTTTAAATAACTGTCTGCTGTAATGCTTCTTTTGCTCTGACTTATAAAGATATATATTTTTGGTTTTGGACTTTTGACCCCTTTCTGCTCCCAGGAGAGAAATTTCTATCAGAATAATAAAAGGTGTAAACTGTGTGTGTTGCCCCTTTTGTGGGCCTTGGGCAGTTCAGCTGCTGGGGTTAAGAATCAGCAGGCATGTGGTTTGTGCCTGGTTATGGGGGAAGTAGGAGACCATTCCCATTAAGCATTCAGTGGCATTCTCAGTGTCCCCCACACTACTTCTTTCATTCCTGTCCTATGCCCTTTTGCTAAGATTCTTTGGATTTCAAATGAATTCTAGTGTCTTTGGTATTTTGAGTACAGATAATTTATGGCTCTACCTCTTCTCTTTCAAAGACAGAAGGTGTTTATCATCTGCTGTGCTTTAGGTCCCAAGCTGAGTTGCCTGCCAAAAAAGATCCTCCTTCTAGAGGAAGGAGAGGATGGGAGAGTTGAAAAACCACTCACTAGTTTTAGAGTCAAAAAAGTAAGGAATTAAACTTGGTTTCACCTTTAATCAACAGACTCAGGTGAAGAGCCTGGACCAGATTATTTCTCTCTCTCTTTTTTAAGATATTTATTTATTTACTTTTAGAGAGAGAAAGTGTGGCATTTTCACTGGGCTTTCTATAAATTGTGTCTTCAGGAAAAGGAATGATTGCAGTAGCACCGTGGGGAGCTCTTAGGGTATGGCAAGATTGTTAGTGCCCCTCACTCTGTGTCCTACCAGAAGGTAGGCAGCTATCTGCTCTTTTCTCCTGTGGGTTTAACCCTGCACTGGGCACTACCTCTGCTCAGGACTGGATGACTACGTGAAAAAGTTCTGGAAGCTAAGGCATCACACCGGGGTGTAGAAGCCATAGACATTGGTTGTAACTGCCCTGGATGTGCTTTTGAGTATTTCTGGATCCATTGGTAAGGCAGTTATAATAGTTCTCTTCCCCGTTTCCCTAAAATGCTGGGTGAATAATCCTGTGGTGATAGTTAGACCTGAAGGGGCCTAGCTGGAAAGCAGGGACTTCTTTCTCCACGTCGATGCTATCTGTTTAGCTGCTCTTTTCTGAGTGGCAGTGAAATGGACCATAAATGTAACATGTCTGGTCCTCAAAGGAGCAGAGAAGCCACAACCACTCTCTGGGCTTGAGCTGCCTTACTTGACACTTAGATCCAGGCCTGACCTCTTACCTCAACTCACCATTGGCTGCTTCACTGATCCCCTGCCTCTCGACTCTCTTCATCTTAGATGCATCTTGCAAATCATTCAATAGCCTGGCTCATCTTCTTAAACATTGCTTATGTCAAATACTCAGTAAAATTACCATCTAACATTCTATGTATTTTATTTTGCCCTTTCCCCCTTCCTAGAATATAAGCTCTAGGAATTCAAGTATTATCTCTCTCCCTTTTTTTTTTTAAGATTTTATTTTTAAGTAATCTCTACACCCATTGTGGGGCTCAGACTCACAACCCTGTGATCAAGAGTTGCATGCTCAACTGACTGAGGCAGCCAGGTGCCCCTGTATTGCCTCTTGTTTATTGCTGTAGCCTAAACTCCTAGAATAGTGCTTCGTGGATGGTTAACACTGACTATATATTTATTAATGATGAAGGCACTATTGAATTTTTTTTCTCCTCCAGGTCCAGCAGCATTATTAATTTTATGGCTCTGTTAAGGATTGTTTTACTCATTTGTTTATTTGTTTATTTTTTGATGTGTTGGATTTAATTTATTTATTTTCTCATTTATTTATTTAGGGAACATTTTTGTCCCTCACCATGTGCTAATCCCCAAATGCTCTTGGTAGAGAGTGCTCCAGAGAGAAATGATCTTACAGGGCTTATATGCCAAAAAGAGAAATGAGGTTGAATCTTTCCTAGGTTAGGTTCTAAACTAAATAGATGAACAACTAAGATTGGGAATTCACCTGTTTTTTGTTTAGTTGTA